ACCCTTGGGGGGCTGCGATCTGCGAACCTGTCGCCACTTTCGAGCGCTGCTGGTGGGTCCAGCGGAGTGAGGCACCGCGCAGATCTGAGCGGGACCGTGCCGTCCCTGGGGGGCTGCGATCTGCTAACCTGTCGCCACTTTCGAGCGCTGCTGGTGGGTCCAGCGGAGTGAGGCACCGCGCAGATCTGAGCGGGACCGTGCCGTCCCTGGGGGGCTGCGATCTGCTAACCTGTCGCCACTTTCGAGCGCTGCTGGTGGGTCCAGCGGAGTGAGGCACCGCGCAGATCTGAGCGGGACCGTGCCGTCCCTGGGGGGCTGCGATCTGCTAACCTGTCGCCACTTTCGAGCGCTGCTGGTGGGTCCAGCGGAGTGAGGCACCGCGCAGATCTGAGCGGGACCGTGCCGTCCCTGGGGGGCTGCGATCTGCTAACCTGTCGCCACTTTCGAGCGCTGCTGGTGGGTCCAGCGGAGTGAGGCAGAGGGACCGCGAGATCTGAGGCGGGACGTCGCCGTCTCTAGGGGGCTGCGATCTGCGAACCTGTCGCCACTTCGCAGGGTTGCTGGTGGGTCCAGCGGAGTGAGGCACCGCGCAGATCTGAGCGGGACGTCGCCGTCCCTTGGGGGGCTGCGATCTGCGAATTTGCCGCCACTGTCGATGGCTGCTGGTGGGTCCAGCGGAGTGAGGCACCGCGCAGATCTGAGCGGGACCTCGCCGACCCTTGCGGGGTTGCGATCTGCGAACCTGTCGCCACTTTCGAGGGCTGCTGGCAAGTCCAGCAGGGTAAGGCACCACGCAGATCTGAGCGGGACGTCGCCGTCCCTTTGGGGGGCTGCGATCTGCAAACCTGTCGCCACTTTCGCTGGTGGGTCCAGCGGAGTGAGGCACCGCGCAGATCTGAGCGGGACGTCGCCGTCCCTTGGGGGGTTGCGATCTGCGAATTTGCCGCCACTGTCGATGGCTGCTGGTGGGTCCAGCGGAGTGAGGCACCGCGCAGATCTGAGCGGGACCTCGCCGCCTCTGAGGGGTTGCGATCTGCGAACTTGTCGCCACTTTCGAGGGCTGCAGGTGGGTTGAGTCGAGGCACCGCGCAGATCTGTCCCTGGGGGGCTGCGATCTGCGAACCTGTCGCCACTTTCGAGGGCTGCTAGTGGGTCCAGCGGAGTGAGGCACCGCGCAGATCTGAGCGGGACGTCGCCGTCCCTGGGGGGGTGCGATCTGCGAACCTGTCGCCACTTTCGAGGGCTGCTTGCAGGTCCAGCAGGGTGAGGCACCGCGCAGATCTGAGCGGGACGTCGCCGTCCCTTTGGGGGGCTGCGATCTGCTAACCTGTCGCCACTTTCGCTGGTGGGTCCAGCGGAGTGAGGCACCGCGCAGATCTGAGCGGGACGTCGCCGTCGATGGGGGCTGCGATCTGCGAATTTGCCGCCACTGTCGATGGCTGCTGGTGGGTCCAGCGGAGTGAGGCACCGCGCAGATCTGAGCGGGACGTCGCCGTCCCTTGGGGGGTTGCGATCTGCGAACCTGTCGCCACTTTCGAGGGTTGCAGGTGGGTTGAGTCGAGGCACCGCGCAGATCTGTCCCTGGGGGGCTGCGATCTGCGATCCCGTCGCCACTTTCGAGGGCTGCTAGTGGGTCCAGCGGAGTGAGGCACCGCGCAGATCTGAGCGGGACGTCGCCGTCCCTGGGGGGGTGCGATCTGCGAACCTGTCGCCACTTTCGAGGGCTGCTGGCAGGTCCAGCGGGGTAAGGCACCGCGCAGATCTGAGCGGGACGTCGCCGTCCCTTGGGGGGCTGCGATCTGCGAACTTGTCGCCACTTTCGCTGGTGGGTCCAGCGGAGTTAGGCACCGCGCAGATCTGAGCGGGACGTCGCCGTCGATGGGGGCTGCGATCTGCGAATTTGCCGCCACTTTCGATGGCTGCTGGTGGGTCCAGCGGAGTGAGGCACCGCGCAGATCTGAGCGGGACCTCGCCGACCCTTGGGGGGTTGCGATCTGCGAACCTGTCGCCACTTTCGAGGGTTGCAGGTGGGTTGAGTCGAGGCACAGCGCAGCTCTGTCCCTGGGGGGCTGCGATCTGCGAACCTGTCGCCACTTTCGAGGGCTGCTAGTGGGTCCAGCGGAGTGAGGCACCGCGCAGATCTGAGCGGGACGTCGCCGTCCTTGGGGGGCTGCGATCTGCGAACCTGTCGCCACTTTCGAGGGCTGCTGGCAAGTCCAGCAGGGTAAGGCACCACGCAGATCTGAGCGGGACGTCGCCGTCCCTTTGGGGGGCTGCGATCTGCAAAACTGTCGCCACTTTCGCTGGTGGGTCCAGCGGAGTGAGGCACCGCGCAGATCTGAGCGGGACGTCGCCGTCCCTTGGGGGGCTGCGATCTGCGAATTTGCCGCCACTGTCGATGGCTGCTGGTGGGTCCAGCGGAGTGAGGCACCGCGCAGATCTGAGCGGGACCTCGCCGACCCTTGCGGGGTTGCGATCTGCGAACCTGTCGCCACTTTCGAGGGTTGCAGGTGGGTTGAGTCGAGGCACCGCGCAGATCTGTCCCTGGGGGGCTGCGATCTGCGAACCTGTCGCCACTTTCGAGGGCTGCTAGTGGGTCCAGCGGAGTGAGGCACCGCGCAGATCTGAGCGGGACGTCGCCGTCCCTGGGGGGGTGCGATCTGCGAACCTGTCGCCACTTTCGAGGGCTGCATGGGGGGCTAGCATAGCGATCTGCGAACCTGTCACCACTTCCGAGGGCTGCTGGTGGGTCCGGCGGAGTTAGGCACCGCGCAGATCCGAGCGAGACCTCGCCGTCCCTGGGGGGCTGCGATCTGCGAGGCTGCTGGTGGGCCCAGCGGAGTGAGGCACCGCGCAGATCTGCGTGGGACCTCGCCGCCTCTGGGGGGTTGCGATTTGCGAACTTGTCGCCACTTTCGAGCCCTGCTGGTGGGCAGGTACTCGTGCCCCGCATTGCGCAGGGGTTGGGTACGTCGGCAGGGCCATTTTCGGATGTGGTCCTGACGATGGGAATAACATGACACAGTGGGTCTCCCCGTCGAACCTACAGAACAGAGTAGGTATAATGCTCGTAGATCTGCGAACCTTCGACGCATTTTTTCCCTACCTAGGCTCTGCCTAGAAGGGTTCTTACTCTCTTAGCTTAAAGGGGCCGGGCAGTGCACACCGCCTGGGCGGTTCCCCCAGTCCCCGCCCCGCGGTTCCCCCAGTCCCCTGGGAGCTTTAGCTTTAGCTTTAGCTGTAGCTTAGCTTTAGCTTAGCTTTCGCTTAGCTTTAGCTTAGCTTTAGCTTAACTTTAGCTTAGCTTTAGCTTAGCTTTAGCTTAGTTTTAGCTTAGCTTTAGCTTAACTTTAGCTTAGTTTTAGCTTAGCTTTAGCGAGCTTTAGCTTAGCTTTAGTTTAGCGTTGGCTTAGCTTTAGCTTAGCTTCAGCTTAGCGTTAGCTTAGCGTTAGCTTAGCTTTAGCTTAGCTTTAGCTTAGCTTCAGCTTGGTTTTAGCTTTAGCTTTAGCTTTAGTTTAGCTTTAGCTTAGCTTTAGCTTAGCTGTAGCTCAGCTGTAGCTCAGCTTTAGCTTAGCTGTAGCTTAGCTTTAGCTTAGCTGTAGCTTAGCTGTAGCTTGGCTTTAGCTTAGCTTTAGCTTAGCTTTAGCGTAGGTTTAACTTGCTTTAGCTTAGCTTTAGCTTAGCTTCAGCTTAGCTTTAGCTTAACTGTAGCTTAGCTTTTAGCTTAGCTTTACTTTTACTACTAATGCTGCTTTCCTAGGGGCTCCAACTCCTAGGTAGGGTCGCACTGGGATAATTTTTGTAAGACCCGACGAACGAATCAGCTCTGGGGTGGATCCATTCTGTAGTCGATGCCCTGCTCGAGCTGTGCAACCGCACTGATCCTGGCAGGGCCGACCCTGGGGCCCGGGATCGGGGGATACGCCTTCCTGCCCAAGCCAGTACAGTCGGGGCCCTGAAGAAGGAGCCCTTTTCGTTGGGGAGGGGCTCCGCGTTCCTTGAGTGTTTCGCAGCTTGACTCAGGCTTCCTTTCTGTTTCCGACAGGAAATCGAAGGTTAACTTATTGAGAAAAGGGGCCTCGTTCCTTATTTAGGGTTCCTTAGGTCAACGCCCCGACTGTAAGGGAGCAAACATGACATAGGCATAAAAACTCGGAGGTCCGCGCGGATTCCTCGGATTGGCGCTTGATCGGCGCACCGGGGCCCGACGCCAACACCAAGATCCCACTGGAAAGGAAACATGCATAGCCTCCGTGGACTGCCGCCGCCCGTGACTTCGGGCTTGCGTGTCCCGCGCTGATGGAGGCCAGCTCTGAACGCGTGGGAACAAGCGGGGGTCTCTTCTATTTCCCCAGGTGGGCGTTCGGATTTCCACGGGCCGCGCGAGGCCCCTGGGCCGCGCGAGCCCAGCCGGCCCGATGAACCCCACAAGTCCCACAAAGGTTTCTCGGGCCGCACGTGCGCCGCAGCGCGCATGGGCCCAATGCGCCGCGCTGGCCTAGCGAGCCGCGCGGGCCCCATGGGCCCCCTGACTCGTCAGGGCCACATCGGGTTTCTGGGCCTTGCGAATCCCGCGGGGCATGAGAGCCCCATAGGCCTTACGGGCGCCATGAGCCCCATAGGACGCTTTCCTATCATGCAAACCCCATGGCCTGCGAATTCGGAGAACAATGCGAGCCATCTCAAGCTTTCCAGGCTCCTTTGGGTCGCTCAGCCCCCACAGGGAAAGCGCTGCCAACTTTTCCAGTGGCGTCTTGGTGCTGGTGCCGGCTTTTCGTTCCATACAACATCACAAATCCGACAACAGCACCAAGGCCCCCTCTGGAACGGCGGCCCCCGTGGGCGAGAGTCTTCCCTCTGCTGTCCCTCCTCGCCCGAGAGCGCCCGCCAGGTTCGCTTCTCGCTTGCGCTTTTTGCTTCCTGCTCTCTCTCCTGCCTGCTGCGCGCGCCGATCCCGCCGTGCCCCGCGAGCTGGCCGCGGTCAGCCGGTGCCGCGCGAGGCGGGCCCGGGAGGCGCAGGCCCCCACGGGCGGGCGGGCATCGGAGCAGAGCGGCCGAGGTCGCAGCACGGCATGGACGAGGTGGCGGCTGCCTGGTGCCAGGACGGCCTCCCCCTCTTGGGGGGGGAGGATCGGCGGCGGGCCCGGGGAGCAGGCCAGAGGGGGCGGGGCTTCCCGGAAGGCCCCGAGGCTCCTCCCGCGGCCATCTGGGAACCTTGCTGAGCCTGCTCCGGTGGCCGAGGCGGCTTTTCAGAGGGCGCGAGGGTTTCTGAGAAGCTCAGTCGCCTCCTGAGAAGGCCTGCCTCCTCTCACTTCCCCCCCGAGCGCGCCGCTGAGAGGGGGAGGGAGGAGGGGCTTGGGTGCTGTTCGGCCGAGGAGGAAAAAGCATCGGTACCGCCACCCTTGGCTCGTTTTCGCTTGTTCGGGCCTCCACAGGGACCCTCGTCGCCACGGCTGGAGTCGCCTCGATCGCGTTCCAGTGGCTTGCACCTCACCGAGAGCGTTCCGGGGGTGCCCAGATCCTCCAGAACGGCCGCCAGAGGCCCGAAAATCAGTATCGTTTATCCGATCCCCATCCCCATCCCCATCCCCTTCGAGACCCCCACCAAATTACCACCCCAGTTGGGGATACACCCCTCGAAACCCGAAGGGGACGACCTATATCCCCATCTAGGGGGGTAAATCGGCCAGTGGGACCCAGGCCACGCCGCTGGGGATGGGGATCGGTTGAACGATACTCAGAAAACCAGACGGTGAGGATCATTTTGCGGGGCTCCGGGGGGGGATGCGTCGACCCCCGAGCGCCCAGTCGTCGCCGGCTGCGGCCCGACCGTCCGCCCCGCCAGGGGCCGTGCGGAGTCGCCGTCGGGGGCCTTATCGCTGATCTGTCGGCGGCGTATCGCCGATTCCAGGTCGGTGCTTCCCCTCTTTCGGATGCAACTCCTGGGAGGTCAAATTCTGATCTTGCCCTGGTCCGAAATCCGGCTTAATCCCGCTTAATCCCGCTTAATTTGGCTTAATCCCGCTTAATCCGGTTTAATCCCGCTTACTCCGAGGCCCACTCCGGCGTAATAGCCCCCAAATGGGGCTTGATCCTCCTTAATCTTTCCGACGAAAACCTCCCAGCAGTTGCCTCCTAACCCTCTGGAGCCAGTCCCCCCCTGTCGTTGCGCCTCAAGGGGAGGGGGGGAGGGGGCCTGGGAGGCCCGGCTTGGGGAGTCGTCGCAGCAGTTGCAGTACGTCTGCTCTTCCCAGGCCATCCGCGACGGTCGTTCGGAGCGGCTATAGCTCGACGGATCGATAGGTGAGCCGTCGATTTGTCGCAGCCTGTCTGGTGGAGCCTTCTATGTCCGGGCAGCTCTGCACTTCGAGGCGGGCCTCCGAGGGGGGGGGAGGAAAGGGGGAGGGGCGGGGGGAAGGAGGCGAGGGGTCTGATGGCAAGGGGGAGCGATACTGCCCCGCCAGCCAGCCGTTTGGCTTGCTCCTAGTCATCCTGTGGAGTTGGGTCTTCGTTTTGACGAGAGAGTCCGCGCGTCTCCTCCTCTTTTCCTCTTCCTCCTCCTCCTCCTCCTGCTCCTCCTCCTCCTCCTGTCCTCCCCATCCTCCTCCTGCTCCTCCTCCTCCTTGTCCTCCTGCTCCTTCTCCTCCTGATCCTCCTCGTCCTCCTCCGCCTCCTCCTCCTCCTCCTCTTCTTCCCCCTCCCATCCCTGCCTCTGCCTTCCGCATGTCTCTGTTTCTGCACACCCCTCACACGTTTCGTGGCCCCATAGGGAGCTTCATCGAAGCTCCCAGTGGTGCAGCCCGCATGCGTCCCCGCCATTACTTTCGGCACACACAATCACACGTTTTGAGGTCCCATAGGGAGCTCCACCGAAGGTCCCAGAGGCGCAGCCCGCATGCGTCCTCGCCACATATTTCGGTACACCCTCACACGTGTCGTGGCCCCATCGGGAGCTCCACCGAAGGTCCCAGTGGCGAAGCCCGCATGCGTCTGCAACCCATGTCGTCACACCCTCGCACGTTTCGCGGCCACATAGGGACCTCCACCGAGGATCCCAGTGGCGCAGCCCGCATGCGTCCACGCCACCCACGTCTGGACACCCTCACACGTTCCGTGGCACCATAGGGAGCTCCACCGAAGGTCCCGCGGCGCAGCCCGCATGCGTCTCGGCCATTTGTTATTTCGGCGCACCCTTCATTCGATGCGGGGCCCCACAGGGGGCTCCACCGAAGGTACCAGTGGCGCAGCCCACGTGCGTCACGGCCAGTTCGGCACACCCCTCCCACGTGTCGTGGCCCCATAGGGAGCTCCACGTCGGCGCACCCCTCCCACGTTTCGTGGCCCCGTAGGGAGCTCCACCGAAGTTCTCACTGGCGCAGCCCGCATGCGTCCCTGCGACGCCATGGCTGGAGGGGGAGGAGGAGGATGAGGAGGAGGAGAAGGAGGAGGAGGAGGAGGAGGAGGAGGAAACGAACACCAAAATTGGACACGCGCGAACTTCATTGGATCCGACGGCGGTCACCCCAGACGCGTCGCCTGTTCAAGACGCAAAACCGTTGTTCTGGGCCCAAGAGGAACACATTTCGTCCTGGGGATGTATTGTTCTGTTTTGGTCAGTCGTTGTCGTTTTCTCAGGTCTAAAGGGTGATTCTTGTTGATCCCCCCACTGCCCATTGTGTTTTTCAATGACAGTGCTCGTCTCGGGGCTCGCACCTGGTCTGTCATAAGGGAACGTCTTGCGCGTCAGATTGTGTCGCTGGCCCATGGTTTACAGCAACATCGGCTCCCGTCCGACACGTCTTCTTCAATTCCTCAAAAACCGCGCGTTCGCGCATGACTCCCTTGCGAATTATGCAGGAAGCGCGCTCTCGCGTGGCATTTCCTTGCAATCTGTGGAATCGCCGCCCCTTCGACACTCAGGAATCATGCTCTCGCGCTCTGGATCTCCAATCGATTCGCGCTCTGTCGCTCGACACCTCCCCGCGATCCCTGCGTGACCGACGCGTCGAGCGACCCGCCCGCCTTGACGTGGCCGTCTGGGCCCGCCCGCCCCGCCCCGCCCCGTCCGTCGCGCCCGCCTGGTTCGGTCGCTTGCTTTTGTGTGGTCCTAGTCTTCCTCCCGCTACAGTCGAGATTGATTGGTAGGTCGACCCTGCCAAATCAAGGGTGCCCTTGTGTCCTGAGCTTCGCGACCCATGCCTTCTTACATTCCTATGACAATGTGGCCCTCCCAAGGGTCTTGTGTCCTCTCACGTGTCCTCTCCAATCAACCCCGACTGTAGTCTCTCTCGTGCTCCATCTTTCTCTCTCTCCGTTGCTCTTTCACTTTTCCCTTCCCCTGTGTTTGGGGGCTGCGCCAACTGCACCTGGCAGGTCAGGAAGATATGCCCCCTAATGGGGGTATGACCGAAGACGAACAGCGTGGGTATAGAGTTTTTGTGATGTCAGGTAGAAGTGTGGAGTGACACGCGAGCAGATACATAAGAACGAACAGTCTGAAGGTGATAGTTGTTGTCGTCGTCGTCGGTATCGTTATCGGTGTCGTTGTCGTTGTCGTTATTTTTGTTGTTGCTTTAGTTGTTGCTGCTGCTGCTGTTGTTGAATTCTCATTTCTGAAGAATAATTATTGTTGATCCCCCCACCGGTGCATACTGTTGTTTCTCAATCAAAGTGTGCCCCTCGACGCTCGCATACTGTTTTTTGACAGGGCAAGTCTTCCTGCTCAAACTGGGACCCTGGCCCCCGGGTTACGACAACAACGGCTCCCGCCTGAGACTTCCTTACAATTTAGCCAGGACCCCCGCTCCCGCCCGAGCACTTTATTCAGGAATCGCGCTCTCGCTGGGGACTTCCATGCAATTTATTAAGGAATCGCTCTCTCGGCGCTCTGGAGTCGCGCTCTCGCTGGAGACTTGCTTGCAACTTACTGAAGAATGGCCTTGCGTTGGGATTTCCTGCAATTTGCCCAAGCGCCGCGCTCCCGACACCCAGGCACCCAGGAGTCGCGCCCGTTGTGGCCCCATGTGCACGCCCTTCGTGGCCCCGCTGTCGCCATTTGTGTCCCCCTCACTGTCCTACGTGGCCCAGTTGCTACCCTCAGTGGCCCCACAGTTGCCTTCTGTGGCCCCGCATTATCTGCACTTCGTGGCCCCCGCTCGTTCGCGCTCTTCGTGGCCCCATACGCATTCCCTTCGTGTCCCCGCTGTCGCCCTTCGTGGCCTATTTCGTGCCCTTCGTGGCCCTGCTGTCGTTCTCTCTCGCTCTCGCTTTCGCTCGTCGTCGCCGTCGTCGTCGTCGTCGCCGTCGTCTTCGACGTCGTCGTCGTCGTCGTCGTCGTCGTCGGGTCGGTCCCCTGTCCGTCCCTCTTGGGGTCGGGTCGACGGTCCGCGGCCGCCCCGCCGATCAGCGCTGCCGCTGGCCAGGCCGACGGTCCGCGGCCGCCCCGCCGCTTGCCGGGGCCCGGCCTGCAGGGAAGACAGGTATTCCCCCCAAAAGGGGCTCGATCGAAGACGAAGAGGGCGGGTATCGAGGGTTGGGGGAATACGCGTTATTGGATACTCGAGCATATAAGGGCGAACAGTCTTAAACTTAAACTTATTATTATTATTATTATTATTATTATTATTATTATTATTATTATTATAAGTCTTGTTATTGTTATTGTTATTGTTGTTGTTGTTGTTGTTGTTGTTGTTGTTGTTGTTGTTGTTGTTGTTGTTGAACTCTCACTACAGGAAAATAATTGTTGATCCCCCCTTCGGTGGCCACTGTGTTTTATTAATTGAAGTGCCTCCCCTGGGGCTCGCAACCGGTTTTTAACCAGGGAATGTCACTAGGCTCAAACTGCGTTAACGGCCCCCGGATTACAACAACGGCTCCCGCCTGAGATGTCCCTACAATTTAGCCAGGACCCCCGCTCCCGCCTGAGACTTCGCATTTTGTTCAGGAATCGCGCTCTCGCTGGGGACTTCCATGCAATTTGTTCAGGAATATGTCTCTCTTTCGGCGCTCTGGAGTCGCGCTCTCTCTCTGGAGAGTTGCTCGCAACTTATTTAAGAATCCCGCTCTTGGACTCAAGCGCCGCGCTCTCGACACTCAGGCA